TTTCCTCTGCCAGCTCTTTTACTTTAAGAGTAAGGTTCTCACATCATGAGGTTTACTTGCATGTTGCTTTCACGTGAATCCAATCTTTTGCTGCTTACTTAATCAGCTCTGGTTTAGTCCTACAAACACATGGAGACTGACTCAAGAAGCATTCCCATAATCTATTCGGAATTTGTGTGTGCGTGCTTCTTTTGTGTTCTTGTTGAACTATGCTGATATGTCTTCCACCATATGAGAGAGAGGTCTGGGCTACCTTACCCTGTATCTATGGGGCACAAAGCAGACAACAGAGGCGCAGATGTGGGTTTATTAACAGGACTTGCCTGATCTGATGGTAGAAGCCACTGAAGGCTTCAACCCAACCCAAGCACTGAAGCTAAAGTAATTAGTGGTTTGACTTTCCCTATTCTGCCCAATTTAGAGGGTGCCAATTTATCCATTCAGCTGAAACACCGCTGTTGTGAATAAGTATCTTCTGACCAAGGTATCGTTTGTCTAGCTGACAAGATGTGCCTTGACATAAAAAGGATGACTCTGTGTCTAAAAGAAGAATTTTCTTGTGGATCATCAGCACCACACAGCAGCATCTTTCCATCACTCCCCTCTTTCACACTCCCCAAGGATAGTGACCTCATTCTGAGTTTATCCCAATATATGGAGTTTGGGAGTAGGACTCAGCAGCTAGCAGGTCAAAATAAAGCTAAGAGTTCAGGTATTCTTTCAGGATGGGTTTTTCTGTTAACCCCATCCTGAAACTCAAGTCAGTTACACATTTTGGTTGCCACTAATGTAACAGGACTGGTTTCTACAGGCTTTGCTAGTTGAGAACCCTTCTTTCACAGATGTAGAACTAGAGATTTATCATGCAGGCCTTCACAAATTCATGGCTACACTACTGCAATATACTTTGTGTAGGGCTGCCCTTGATGGCCGCTCAGAGACTTCAGACTGCCTTCGGAAAAGGGGCCTTCATGAGGAGCGTGTGGCACCCGCACCAACACCCTGGCATTCTTCTGCTTTATATAGTTCAATGAAAGAGAAGGCTGGGTAGGAATCTTCCCCATGACACCCTAGATGTCTAGGGTGCAGCAGTTAAAATCTGATCATGGGAGAGCCCCTCCCTTGTATTCTCTCATGTACCAACCACCAGTTTCACCACTTGGCCCACTACCTACAAGAACTAGAACCACCACTTCATGGTTTTTCCCCCTAAACTGAGAATCCTAATAAAACCAGTGAATAATTTAGGATGCTGGTTTTTTCCCAAGTTTGCTGAGAATCCAACCCATATGAAAGGCAGTGGATGATGGGGAGTGGGGTCAGCTGGCAACAGCTCTCTAGGACCAAGGAGAAGAGGTTCTTCTGCTATTGAGTCTACTGGCTGCTAAAAGCTGGAATTCACAGCAAAATCTGGAGGGGCAGGTTCAACATGCCTGAAATCAAGCAGTTTTCTAGCCACTACGTGAAGCCATCAGGAACCACAATTTGGGGTCTTCTCTAGACAAACTCTACAAAGTTTGGCCTGTTCTCTGCTAGAACACAAAGGAAGCAAATCTGATTTGGTGCCCTTTCCACTCCAAAATAATCCTTACTCATTCCCTTCTTTTCTATTTTTGCAACTGTTGCCCTCCTCGAATACGCAAAACACCATCAGCCCAGATGTTTTGTTTCTTCCAGTTTCACAATCATTGGCCCTAATGCAGAGCAACTCCGTAAGAGAGAGGAATTGAAATCCGAGGAGAAACGGAACCAGGTTTCAGACGAAAGAAAGAGCCATAGCAGAAAATAAGCACTTTAAAGAAAAGATCCCTGAATTTAAGGCATGAAAAGGAACATTTTTCTCTTTTTTTTACCTTCTTCCAAGCTCCCAAGTTTTCTTTCTTGCGGTGTTTCAGTTGGAAAAACTCTACAAACATTGTGTTGAGCGCAGACTGGCTTGCGCATTCCAAAAACATTAATAATTATGAGAAAGTCCAGCCTCCAATTTGGCAGGAGTCAGCAAAGGAGGGGGTGATTTTTTGCAGGACTCACCAAAAAAATGTTTGGGCTTTTTTGGTTTAATGGAAGGGGCCTCTGCTTTGCAGCATGCTTTCTGACAAGAAGCAACCCAGCGACGTCTTTCATAGCGGACATTTGAGGAGACGCCATCCTTAGTAGAGATTCCTGATCTCCATTGAGGGTTTGGCTTGATTTAGTTTCCTTCCCTCCGCCCAACAACACACATGGATTTTATTTATTTGTTTAGCTGATTTGGGTAGCCATCCTGCTCACCCAGCAACTCAGTCCACCGTGTGTGTCGCCAATAAACAATAATGAGTCAATTATAAACCCACTCACAATGAAACAAAATATAAAATACAGACAAAGGAATGTGGGTCATGCCAACCAACTCTGGGGGGGGGGGTATCTAAGGATCAGCGTTTGCACAATCTCAGATGATTGGGCTAAAAACTGTTGACAGAGTCGATTCAGATATCGCCAGTCCATGACAGATTTTCACTCCTGCCTCCTTGTATTTTTTTTTTTCTTCCCTCTGTACATACTCACTTAAAAATTCACACATTCTCTGTCTCCTCCAGGCTGTAAAGCACAGATGAGTGGGGGGGGGGGGGGAGGGGTAAATAAAGTGGTGATTGTCTTTCTCCCCAATGAATAACAGATGAAGCAGAGTCACTAACTTGACTCACTCACAGCTTCGGACTGAAGTAATGTCTCTTAACATAGACAATATCTCCTGAAGTAAATACAGGGGGGAGAAAAAACAACCCTACTCTGCTTTCTTTTTTTGTAAGATGACTATAAAGGCTAGTTCAGTTTACGTGGGGAGGGAAAGCAATCTGTTGCCCCTGCACAAGGTTGTGTGTCTCAGGTGTCTCAGACTGCAGATGTTGTAGGCTAGAGAAGACACAGAGGTTATCTCTTTGGCATTCTCCACCTTCAGCTTTTAGGACTCCACGTGGAATCTCCTCATGTTGCTTTCTTTAGCCCGCTACCCTCGGGTATGGAGGTGGTGCTGTCCATCCACCACTTTTAAATAAGATCCAGCTTCCATTCCAGTCCCCACCCCACCCCAGATGAAGAACGGGCAGCAGGAGATGTCGTCTTGTCCTTTGCATCAAAATATCTGCCCATAGTTTCTTCTTTCAAACGGTTTCTGGAGAAGCTTTGTCCACCCCTGCTTCAAACACCTCTCTGCTCTCCACCCAGGAGGCATTGGATGTCAGTCAATCACAGCCCAACCATTTGTGGTCTGTTCCTCTAGCTATCAGACCTGTCTAGATCTGTTCCTCTAGCTATCAGGGTGTTTGGGATTGGACTCAGTTGATCTCCCCTGTTCTTTCTTTCTCCCGATGAGAGGAAACAGGCCAAGAGTACCCCATCCACCACCCCCATTGCCTGAGAGTTGTGGATCTTCCCTTGGTCTTAGAGATGAACAGACTTACTTGGGAAGGGGCAAGGATTCCTTTAGAGAAGAGGAGAATAGGCTGCTGCGCCTTCCTAGTTGCTGAACCAAGAGTCTCTTTTCCTGTTGGCCAAAGTCCTCAACAGCTGGTGAAATCTGAGCTGCTGGAGCAGAGGACAATCAGTTTCCTTTTAAGGTAGAAAAAGTAATAAAGAGTTGCTTTCTTTCACATGTTGCACACTCTTTTCTAAGTAACTTCCACTTTCAAATTGGAATGGCTTTGGATGAGGGAGCACACTCTGCAAGCCTCTTTTTGCTTTACAGCTATGCAAGCAGATCAAAAAGGAAGTGAAGGTGACATTCTTACTAAATAGATGATTCTCTCCCCAAGTGAAAGTTGGTAATCCCTAAAGTTGGTTTTCACTAACCTCTTGTCTAAATGGTCAAGTGCTGTTTTTGTCACAGCCCAAGGAGCAGGTTGAGAGGTGCCAATGGACCTGGGTGTGCCCTCCATTTCCCCAGATATGTCAGTGCCAGCCTCCTCCTCTGCCAGCATAAGCCCTCCCCAACTAATATGGGTGCCACATTAAACCTTTCAACCCTAACCAGTACCCTCAGGCCCCTGGAAGACCCTTTCAATGGACTTCTTCATCAGCTTTCCATGTTCTCAAAAATTCGTTACTATGTCATGGTGGTGGACCGTTTCACCAAGATGGGCTACTTCATCCCCACTGCCAAGGAGACTGCCAATTTGCTACTCCACCACATATTCCAGGTGCACAACTTACCATCTCAAACTGAGGGGCCACCTCTCCACTGATTAGCATCCAGAGTACTGTATCTCCATTGCTATGTGAACTACCAGCAGGATTACTGGGCCCAACTATTACCTCTCACCAAGGTCACCTACAGCAACTCCTTACCCACCTCTATTCAACAAACTCCATTCTTCTCCAACTATAGTTTCCATCCTTGGTTCGTCCTTGTACCCAGTTCTTCATCTTCATTCTCTACCATTGACTCCTTGCTATCAGAGCTGTGTGCCATCCATGACACTTTCTGTGCAAAGCTGTGAGTACCCAAAGAACAGTACAAACATTTTGCAGATCTCCACAGTCAGGCAGGATCACCTCTGAAAGTCGGTGATTGATCCAGCTGCCAAGGAACCCCTAATCGTACAAGGTGGCACACAGAAACAAGGTGGCAACATGATACATCAGGCCCTTTCCCATCCTGGCAGAAATCAGTCATGTTACTTACAAGCTCCATCTTCTTGCTGCTACTCTACAACTCAGGCATACCCCTGACAGGCTTGATGCCAACTCCTCAGCTGTGTCTGCATGCCAGCACAGCCAATGCATCTGTGCCCTGCCCGCTCAGTGCTCCAGGGTTCATCCTTGTTCCTGAAGCTAGACCTCACCCCTGCCAGTGTTCAGCCCTTCTCTCAAATGGAGGGATCTGATCTTCTACTATGTATCTCATCTCATAATACAGGGGACTTGGATATCTCTGGGTTCACCTACTCCCAGTAGTTTCAACCCATCCATTAAGATCTAGAAGATATGCCTTTCTACACAGCCCTTCCCTGAAGGATTGTCATCTACAGGGACACAGAGTAGACCCTTCTCAGTTACCATCCTCCCTAGCATTCCCCCAGATATCAGGTCCTACTTTCCTGAATTTTTGGAATGATGTTAAAGGCCTAGTTTTTTAACAAGGGTTTGAGGTATGAAATACTGTCTTAATCTCACCTACAAGAAGGAGTATTGCCTGGGATTGATTGTCAGTGGTGCCTGGAATATTTTGTCTCATATATATATATATATATACATATATATATATATATATATATATGAGACAATATATATATATATGCACACACGCACGCACACATATATATACACACACATATATATACACACACACACACATACACACACACATACATACACACACACACACATATGCTTTAACTCAAATACTTTATTAAGTATATAGAATCTATTAAGATTAGCACAACATACATACATATTCCCAGTGACCAGAAGCTCCTATTCTATCCAAGCTTACCCATTTCCACTGAAACTCACCAAGCAACCAACGGGCAGCCTACCTGCAAGAGGAGAACGTCTAGAACCTAACAACGGTCTATCTAGGTAATGCAGGTTAAGGATTTGCTGTATGGCGAATTGATCAAAGACAAAATTCTATTTTAAGCAATCAGGCCAGTCAGTTGCTTTTTATGGTATGAAGGTGAGTTCAGAATAGGTGTCCTTTGTAAAATGAGCTGGAATTTAAACTCTAGGGCAGGGGATGGATTGCTCCAGAAGAATCCAACTGCTTTTAAGAATTCATTTATCACCATTGGCTTTCAGAAGATCTCTCACCCACAAATCTAAGTAATCAGGTATTTAGACCCCTTCCCCAGCAGCCTCTCTCCAAATCAGCTGTGTTAACATCCCCATCATCCCCAGACACCAGGATCGAACATGAAGGCATCACAGGGAATACTGGTTTAGATATTCATTCCCAGGAGGGCTGTGAGTTGCTTGTCCCCTGGGTAAAAACTGAGGTGGGCTGGATATCCAACTTCTGACCAACTTAAAAGAATAATTCTAACCCAAGTCCTAACCTGACTTTTAATTCTGACTCATTTCTCAATCCTTTTCTCCTTGAATCTACAAAAAGTGGTATCAGTCTTAAAGGACAAGCTGGAGTTCTGGCCTTGAGATCAACCACATGCACAAGAACTTGACCAAGCTTCAACCAGACCAGGAAGCCCTTTTATACTATTTCCTATCCAGAAGGCGGAGTCCAGTGGCCAGCCTAGGTGGGCGGGTCTATCCAGAGCTGGGCGGTGCTTCAAGAGAAGGCTACCCTTTGCAGCTTAGGGACTGGACACCTGGGGGAGCTGCAGCCAGATTAGGCTGCTTCAGAATGGTTGATGGCAGTCTGTAAAATTCAATGAGCCATTTTATGGCTTCTAATGAGGATATTGATCACATTGATGCAACGCGGAGCATTCAGGATGGATGCAGCTATGACTAATGCATGTCTATACTGCTTCAGGACTCAGGAGGTTGGCTTCTTCCTGGAGGAAGGATACAGCACCATGACAGAGGACCTACTCCCCGATCGCCAGTGACAATATTGGCATAGCAGAACCAGTGATCTTGGTTTCAGCCTTTCAGGTCCAATAGTGTGAGGGCTAAACCCTATAGCCAAGTTGTTACATTCACATTCAGAAGGGGAACGCACTGATGCATATGTGAGTAAAGGCCAGGGGGGTTCTGTGACCTCTGGGAAATGCAACTTGCATTTGTTACGCCGTTACAGGGTCTATTTCTGGCAGGCTTTCTGGGACATGGAAGAAGTAGATATTTTCTGCATGGATTCTTGGCAAGCTGGGAAACGGCCAGCCTATTTATTATCCCAGGATTGTTAAGTCAGAGGGGGGTCTGCAGGAGGTGGTCAGAGTCAAATGGCAGCCACAATCAGCCAATCGAAGCATAAGATGCACATAAAAAGCAGGCAGGGCTTGAGTCCCACCATTACAGCCGCCATTTTGACTTCTTTGACCACACCCTGTGAGTGGCCCCAGTGAGTGAGACGGGGAAGTCTGAAGACATCCTTGGAACAAGTCCATGATGAACTGCTGGCATACTATTACCAAAAGAACGGCACGTACACATTCATAAAGTCAGCAGGAGTCAAAATTGACTGGAGGCATCTATCTTTTCCATAATGGCAGCTTCTCTTGAAAGAGACATTTGTCGTCTTCCCTCACTTCCCTTCTGCTTCCCGGTCTCGAAGGGAACCGTGGCATCCCATCCCCTCCCCATATCTCATCGTAACTAGATTCCCAGTAGAAATATTAGGTGGGGAGGGCAGAAAGGGAAAGAAATCTATTACTCTCTAATTAATTGGATGTGGGGATAGCTGCGTTTTCTCTCTCCTTTCTACATCTTAAAGCAGAAAACTCAATTAAAACACATCCACAAGAGACCATTTTTCTATAATGAGAAAGTCTACATTTCTAATGCACCATAAAAATGTTGATATTGTCATCCGCTCAGGAGAAAGAAGACTTACTCCATTTCATTTCTGATATCTAGACCCTTGGAGTGTAAATCAGGTAGAAGCTGAAAGGAAATTGTGTGTGCCAAGTATATGTTACCTTGTCCTCAAGGTTTTTGACCATATAATTTCCCCACCTTGCCCCCTCCCCAATTCTTAGATTGCTTTTTTTCATTTGAAACAGTGACAAGCACCCCCCCGCCGCCTTTATTTTTAGGACTGTGAGAATATTTGAATGTTTGAATCGATTCACCCAACTTGATAGGTTTGAATCAATTCCCTGAACCCAACTGAATATGCCCAGATCAAGCCAGACTATATTGAATGCTTTGGGTGCATGTTCATTTTAAGAGCCAGTTTGGTCCAATTTGATACCAATATCTGCAGAATGTAATTAAATCGATTTTCCAAATCTAATTGGATCCATTATTTTCCTCCACGACTGAGAGACGGGGAGACGTGCTTTCCATATGGATCAGGTTTTTAATCAGATGGAAAATTTGCAATATCGTTAGCTGCAAGATATGATTTTGAACACATATCTTTGGTCAAAGAAGATTGCCTTTTCCTAATACTCCAAGCTGTATTATTGGTGAGAAAATTGATGCCTTGTCTCTTCTTGCAAGCAAACACCTTTCCTGAAATCAGGACTACAATGTGAGTTGTGAGCCCACAGCAGGTTCCTGCTGGATGGTGCCTCTGTGTTAAGAGTGACGTTGTCACCCTCCAACCAAGCTGTCTGATTCTGTTTGGGTGGTCTGGGTGCAGTTGAGCTTTGCTTAATTGTTTTGCTTAAGCAGTTCAAGATTTGAATAAATGACATGCAACTGCATAAATAACTAGCAGAAACATGAATGGGTAGGTAGTATTTGACAGCTGATGACTGGCAAGATTCCATGTGCGAAGCGGGCTTGTCCACACACGCAAATCTTTCTTTCTCTCTCTCTCAGGAAAAAAAATGAAAATAGACTTCTACTGTACTGCAGAAAGGGGAGCGGCTGCCCAATTTAAAACCCCTGTGGATTCATGTCAAGTCCTTCGCCATGTTGGAAAGCGCATCTGATGCTTGCCAGACCCGCTGCACCCTGACCGTGATATCCCAAGCAGCAGCCTGCTTCAGATAAGGGCTGTAGGAAAAGAAAGAAATGCTGGAATAAACACTGCACCTCAGCCAAGCCAGGGACTCACTGCTTTGCGCCTCCTGTCTTCCGCAAATTAGCTCTGGTGAAGCAGGAGAGGAAGCCAATGGTCCATCTGCTCTGAGACACCCATGGCGAGACAGCAAGGTTTCCCCTTCACCTTTCAGATTCCGCAGTGCCAGTCTAAACGGGAGGGGCTTCGTTTCACAACGGAGGCGTTATCCATCGGTGTGTGCAACATTCATGGCGCATGGAAGTGGCCACTGGAATAGTGGCTTCCTTGTGATAACCTCCGCCCCCGCCCCCGCCCCAGCCCCCAAAAGAGCTGCATCTAGACCGAACCATTTTTGCACTATTTATTGTGTTTGTTTTTCTGGGGGAAAAAAAAAATCTGGGCCACCCTTCCCAACTTCCACATTTCCCCCGCTCTGCTTACAATGCCTTGATGTTCTTGCTCCGGGCCCTGCGTTTCCGGGAGATTTTTTCTACTTAATCGTGGTAGCTTTGATGTGATCACTGAGTGATATCCAGGATGCCCTGGTGGCAGGCTGAAATCAACCCGGTCGAGTTAAGTTCCCAGGTTGGATAGATGGAGGGGTGGGAAGGTAGTCACAGACAGAGAGGAACGCTGCGCCATTCCGCTTCCTCGCTATACAAGCATTGGGTTAAACGGTGTGATGTTGACACACACAAACACACACCCCTCCTCGATCTCCCACCAGTCCTTTTTTCCCCCCATCGTCAGAAATCTGCCACCCGCTGACTTTAAGAAACCGGAGAGTGGGTGCGTTTCCTTGCCGTAACGTCGCCCACTGGCTGCGACCGAAAGAGCCGCGCAGAGGAGCGCCGGTGGGTCTTGGTTATCTTCTCCCCAACCCCGCCTGGCGCACCCTTTCACCCTCGAGAAGCGGCTAGCTTTGCCAAACCCTCGGGGCGAGGACTTCTTCTCCGCGGGGGAGAGTTCTTGGCACCTTAGCCCAGCATTTGGTTAATCCGGTGCAAAGAAGCGGGTGAAAAAAAACGGGTTCTGCAGGAAAAGGATGCGGAGTGGAGAGACGCGTTAGCTGAAAGGGCAGGGAAAGCCTGCTGGCTGCTCCCGGGGAGCCGGTGGTACCTGAGCGAGGCGAGATGTCACTTCTGCAGAAATCTCTAGATTTCGTTCCTGTTCCTCTCCAAAGGTCGCTTCAAGATAAAACCCAACGTCTGGAGCCAGAGCGGGTGAGCCGCTGGGGCTTCTCTCTGGCCCCGGGAGCGCACCGTAAAACTCAAGAAAGAAAAGAAACGCGGGCGTTTGTTAATCTTTGGTTAGGCTCTTTCTCTCCCCCCCCCCATTTCTAATTGATAATGGTGCTCAAGAGAGGGAATGACCCCAATGGGCCTGATTTATGGTAATTTGTTTACCCCTTAAGGCTGCGCTGAGCTCCTTGGCTTAAAATCCACTGAGACGGAGAGACATTTCACGTGTGAATATTGCTTATCTTCTCCCCCCCCCCCCCGGCCCCCCCGCAAAAA